ATATTAAAAGACAAAAGAAAAAAGATGTTTTGCACTTGCAAGTTGCATTTACAAAACTCACGTCTCTAGTATACTTTCCAAAAATTAAAATTAAAATTAAAAAATTAAAAATTAAAAATTAAAATTAAAAAAATAAAAAATAAAAATAAAAACTACTCTACTCTACTACCACCACCACCAGTGGTTGACAGTAAGGATTTACCTGTGGCGGACCCCACAAAAAAATCTATCTTTACCAGCGCTCGTGACACTCTTCCGTTCTACGGAAAGCGGGTCCCACGCAACCCTGCTGCGCAGCAAGCATTGGACCATAAGTCTCGGTGTGAGAGAAGAGGGGCCCACGGCGGAATTCCTCTCTGATTCATCGCTTACTTTTGGGACCCACATACTGACCAACTAGGAAGAGGCCCTCATCGTATTATTCTACACTTGACTCGCACGAAGTCCAACTTTTCTACTCTGCCGGAGTGCTAATGGGCATAATTGCCTTTTCCATAATTGCCCTTGACTCCTTTCGCTGGCTTAAACGGCTTCGGCTTTTAGCCATTTTTCTTTTAACCATTTTTTTGAGAGGGAAATTACAAGTGAAAAGTAATTAACCATTTTTCTTTTTTACAAAAGAAATTTGCACAATTGGTCCCTTAACTTTTTTAGTATGTTAACATTTTTGCCCTGTTATTTTAATTTGTGACGAAAAATCCTTAAGACTCTCAAGCTATTGATAGTTAAGCTCTTTCCATTCATTTTCGTTAAAAGAATGAATCAGTGTAAGAAAGGTTCTCCGATATAAGAAAGTATATTGACAAAATAGCAATAATTTATAATTTAACATAAAAACAAAAGAGTTGCATGTGTACATATGGGGGTGCTTCCAGATTCTTTGGGCTTCCCTAGTGATGGGGAGGAGGAGAGGATAAGGGGGATGTTTAAGAGCTTAGAATTTGGGAGGAGAATGATGACGAGATGTTGAGTACTTTGCGAAATTACGATAAACACACACATATATGTAGATAAATGTGGAGAGGGAGAGAGAGCGAGAGAGATACTAAGAAGACGGGCAGGAAGGGGGATGGCTTCGATCACGCAATGGCCCAGAAGGAATGAAACATCTAAATTTGGGTAGAAACATCATGAGTTCACATAGATCGAGACATTGTCGAGGAGGTATAGTCTCGGTAAAGCTAAAAGTTTGGGTCTACCTAGGCCGGCATTCCCAACGGGTCGGTTTACTTGAATTTCTACAAGGGAAATTTTTATTACCATCTCATACATCCCTTTTAGTATTCATAGAGGGTATATCAACCGTAGTTGCTTTCATCTCTTTTTTTTTTTAGCAAAAAAGATTGTGGGGTTTATGAAGTATCAGTAGTTCTCTACTTTTCAACAATCATATTTGTATAAGAAACTATATGTTATGTATAATTTTTTAATTTGATGTGAATTTAACCAAATGCAATTATCAGAAACTGATACTACCGATATAGAGGCTACGGAAGAAAGTCCATTGAATTCTTTTAATGGTGGATTGGTGCATGAGAATTAGGATTTTACTAAATTTGCTATTGGTCCTTGTCCTTGAACTTCCATAAAAATCTCATTAGTTTTATTGATGGCTGCTTTCTTTATGAATAATTGAACGCCCCTTAAAATAAAGAAAATGTGTATTATTTGTCGTTACATTAATTACTTGTGGAAAGCTACATTTTTGGTTGGTCCTAAACTATTTTAGAATTTATGTAGTTGCTAAATTTAAAAAAGAACATAGGATAATTTGGAATACAAAAAACCACAACTTTCACATTTTAGTAACAAAATGGTATGGTCTTTCTGTTATGAAATTAAGAGAACATTGTTGAGTTCCAGCCCAAAAAAAAAAAAAAAAAAAAAACAGAGAGAGAGAACACTGTTGAGGAAATTTTAGGTATATTTTCTGTTAATTGCAAACTTGGGGAGAAAAGTACATGGAAACTTCACTGGCGGAATATAAAAGAACACCCTATAAATGTTACCCTTATATTTTAAAAATATTGCTCTTGTAACCTGAAATCGATTTTTAGTTTGTGGATAAATGCTTTTCAAAAAATAACAAAAGAACTGATTTCTCGAGGCACCAAAAGATATTTTAAAAATGCAAATGTCTTATTTTAATAATAGAAAAAAAAAAAAAAAAACATAGTGGAGTGTCCAGTCACCAGTGCATGTTGTGGAGGGTACTTTCATAATAATTGTGAAGATATGAGGTATTAAAATGATTTTTTTCCTTTATTTTTTAACCTAGAATCAAAAAGAATTCTGTAGCAGAATATTAACAAAAAATAAATAAATAAACATTTTACCAGTAAGGTACAATCAATGGTCATACTATGGAAAAACTCTTTGGTTTGTAGTATATTATTTTTTAAACCATCAAATGATAGCTTTAAAAAAATAAAAATAAAAAACTATCACGTGATGATATTAGACGAATAAAAGAATTTCTAACAAAATCTTATGTAGCGCTAACTCAAGGGTAAGGCCAGACTTTATTTATTTTATTAATTTAAGTTTAGAATTCGAGTTTTGTTACAGTAAAAATTTTTCAGAAACAGTCATATTTGATTTTTTCATTACAGTAAAAAATTATCACATAAAGTCACATCTCAATTTAAATTAAAAACTCGAATCAGCTCATTAAACGGCCTGTACATATATTCATCACGTTTATTTGACCTGAAAAATCAAGGCCTACAGCACATGCCTATTATCTACGTAGTCACTAATTTTTTTATATGTATATTCACATGCAGTTATCGAGAAATTTGTTTTTATCCTTTTAGAATCGAGCAAACAAGTATTTATGATATATACAATATCTATATATATATCAAAAAATATATATTTCTATGTCTGCGTATGTATCCCACACACGGAGAGATGTATATTTATATATATATATATATATAGAGATATTACATAGATAATTGAAGATTAATTGCATATTTAAAAAGTGAGACTTCCTTATTAATAGTTCTATTTCTCATAAAACATTTTAGTTGGTGATTAATTGCTCACTTCTCATATAATGTTTTTTTCTCACATCTAACTACTACAAGTTTTTCTCTTTTCAATGTACTAGAAAATTTAGTTTACAGGGGCAAGAATAATCTATAAATTGTAAAAATCAACAATAGTTCTTAGGTATTAGATAACAATAGGAGGAAATTTTAAATTTAACTATTTTTTTTTTCAATTCTATAATTTATGTTTACACAAAATTTTAATGACACTACATAAAACAACCTATAGATTGTGAATAAATAACCTGCAGATTACGAAAAATATCTTGTAAATTACGAAAGATAACTTATATATTACGAAAAATAACTTACAGGTTATGAAAAATATCTTGCAAATAATGAAAGATAATTTATATGTTATGAAAAATAACTTACTGGTTATGAAAAAATAATTTACAGATTATTAATAGCATGAGATAAATTTACAACAAAAATAAAAATAAAATAGTGTTATTTTAACGATGATATTTATTGTTATCTAACAATAAGTAAGCGTGAAATCTACATTTTACGTTCAAAATGAATTTTGAAAAAAATAATAATAATCTCAAATCTCATAAAATATTTCGCTTAAAGCGTCATAATATGTTGAGTAGGCCCTGATCTTATGATAATTTTATGGTTTAAAATTAAGATTTTTTTTCCTACTCTATTAAAAAATTATCAAAAGGTTCAACCGCAAACGACAAACCTTATGATAAAAGCTCTAAAGTGTAAAACGACATAACAAATATATAAGTTGTGTAATAGGAGAAATCCATTTTTATCTTAGCAACACTCATGTCTTTTAAACATTTTCCAAATTGATATAGAACTCGTTCACTTTGCGGATTTGAGTTTTCAATTTGAGCTGAGATATAACATTTTTTGAGAGCTTTTAATTATAACAGAAAAAGTTAGATGTTATATTTTCTAAAAACTTTTTACTATAAAAACTTAAAATTAAAAACTCAAATCGATAAAATAAATAAGGTGATAGAGTATCGTACCCGTGTTGATGTGGTAGTAGCTATTCTTTCAAAAAAAAAAAAAAAAAAAGTAGAAGGAGGACATCTGTCGCAAAAGACTGGTACTAAGCACCAATTTTAGCGGTGCTTGTAATATAAAGAAGAAAACGGTATCTAATCCAACCTTACGAGACCAATAATTATTTATTTATTGTTTTGAAGGTAGACCAATATTTATTTTGCCATACACTTTTTAATGATACTTTTAAACCACTTGAAAAGTCCGTACTAACACAATTAGTAAGTACAAAGACTAATAGTAACTAGTAAAAAAAACCATTTTAACACGTTTCATTAACATTACTCTTTTTCTAGGATCCTATAAAAAATTTGAGTTTACGTTTAGTTAGTAGATTCGTGTAATAATTTAAATCATAATTCATAATTTATTACAGTATTTTTTCTCATAAAAAATACACATAAATTAAGAATTATTCTGAATTTATGAACTAAACTTCATTTGAGCGGTGATAACAGTTCTTTAAAATATATTATCACAAATTTAGGCACCCTCTTAGAAATTGCAAAAATTAAAAAATTAAAATTCAAAAAAAAAAAAAAACTTCCAAAATCTGGCTTAGCCGACTTGTGAGCTAAGAGCTATGAGAAGTCCAATCTCTCACGTGAGTTGAGAGAGAGACCAAAAATCCAAAACAAAACACACTCAACAACTGCTCACTCCCTCACTCATTTCACTCAGTTTCTTACACAGATTGCCAACTCAACAACACTGCAAAGTTTGCAGAAAAAATAGTAAACATAACAGCTTCTTTATACCAAATGATAAATATTTCACGGACTCGTATAAAGCAGATTAGGCTAGCAAAAAAATAAAAAAATAAAAAATAATGATAATAGAAGAAAGTCCAGAAATTCCATAGCTTCTCTCTAATATATAACATGTTTGTATATATTATGAATATTATTTTTTCTTCTATTATCTGATATCTTTCCCGTCCCCCAAAAACAAATCACATTTAATGCAATCTTCATCACGGGCAGCTATAAAACAACGTGATTAATTGTACATTAACATAAAAACCATTATTTGCACTTTACGCCCCTATTTATACAAACTACAAACATCCCACGACCCAACATTACAAGACAACAACAAAAATAAGCAATTTCCACAAACACAAGAAAAATGGAAATGGGCTCTGCTCAAAACAGAGTCCTCTGTTCTTCATCTATATCACTCTTTCTATTTCTATTCTCATTCTTTTCGGTCCCCGGCGGGGTTCGAGGCCAATCGACGTCGCCGCCTTTCGCCTGCGACGTCGGTGCCAACCCGTCTCTGGCCGGGTTCGGGTTCTGCAACGCGTCGCTGGGGATCGAATCGAGGGTCGGTGACTTGGTGAAGAGGTTGACATTGCAGGAGAAGATTGGATTCCTGGTGAACAGCGCAGGGGCTGTGAGCAGGCTGGGAATTCCCAAGTACGAGTGGTGGTCTGAGGCTCTTCATGGGGTGTCGTATGTCGGTCCCGGGACGCGCTTTTCGAGTGTCGTTCCGGGCGCAACTAGCTTCCCTCAGGTTATCTTGACGGCCGCTTCTTTCAATGCTTCTCTGTTTGAGGTCATTGGAAAGGTAAATTATATATGTTAAACCCCATTATTTTGGATTTATTGTCGTGTTCTTCTTCTTTCTTTTATTTTTATCTTTTCCTTTATCTCTTCTGGAAGGCGTTTTATCTGTAGTGAATGAATATGAGAGGTTTTCTGTGCTATTTATTTGCATTTTTTTCTGTTCATCTCAGATTTGTTGGATTTCTTCTTGTTTCTCTTTTTGATTCTTTTACTAATTGCTTTTGGCATTTGAGTTGTCTTTGAATGTTAAAACTCTCTTTTTGCATTTTGTGAATCATGTTAGATTTGTGAAGAGGGTCAATGAGTTTCGACATATAAATGTGCTTTCTTCTTTCATGTTTTCTTTTTCTCTGGTTTTCCTATATATATATATATATATATATATATTCAGTTTCATTTTGTTCTTCACTGCCTTATTATCTAAACGTGTATCATCATCGAATTTCATATCCTGTCCATTGTCTTCATCATCTTTGATATATCATATATGTGAAATTGGGTCCTCTAAGCCCAAATGCATTTAATTTATAGTTAGTTTTCATAAGTTTTTTGTGTTAATATTCTCATAAATTGCATGTGGACTAGTATTCTTGCCCCATACCCTTTACAGCTATGAAATATAATTAATTAAAAGCACGTCTTAAAAACTTCCTCTTCAGATATTTTTGAAATATGAGGTGAGAGAGTTATTTTAGCATTTATTTATGAAAAGTAAACAGATAGAGTTTTACCATCTTATTTCTTCACTTTAACATGAAAATGAGAGGTTTTTTTGATATTTTTTCTTTTTCCATAATCACCATCTACAAATTAGTAAATTAATTTGTTAGTTGGTAGTATGTAAATCTGCCAGCTGATAGGATTCCAAATTAGATTTGGACTTTTGACATGATTTCCTTTGAAGAAGGACACTGATTGGTTACCAGCAATGTTATGGAGTAACTAATCTCACGTATAGCAAGCATTACATGTGCAAGTTAAGCAATTTTCAAACATCAATGAAAAACCCATTTCAGTTTGGTTACCAAACTCAATAATTTGAAAAATCTTACCTTATAACTAGCATTAGCAATTTATTATAATGCTTGATTAGTTAATAGGAAAGGTTTGAAAGTGGGCGTTTAGGGTATATATATATATATATATATATATATATATTTATTTATTTATTGAGAAAAGTGATAATTCCAAAACTTAATACATTAATATATGCAAGAAAAAAGTAGAGGTGTAAAATGTCTTTAAAAAATAAAGAAGAAATAACCGGTCCACTTTTATGGCATTGGATTGACTCTTGTGCCTTTTCCTTTGTCTTTTTGTAGCACCATAATTGTATCGTTGCTTAAGATGCATGAAAAAGAAACTTTATTGGTTATGCATATTTACAAGTTTACAAGTGTTCAATGCAAACTCTATAAGTGTTTAATTGACCATCAATTTGGAGATGCAATTTGCCAAAAAAAAAAAAAAAAAAAAAGAAAAAAGAAAAAGTCTTGCTGGCAAGGGTTCCAAGTCATGGGTCCCACATTAGTAGTAGACCGTCTAATACTACTAAATGACAGTGAAAATATGAGAGACAGTTGGATAGTATTTAGCACCAAATACCAATTAACCAATAGCATTCATCTTTATAATAAGAGCTGGACCATACGGTGTTACTTTTGTACTAGGGAAATCAACATACGAAACCTACGTCACGAATGACCACTAGTCTAACGGCATGAGATAGGGTTTGATGAGGTTTGAGGAATGTGTGGATTTAACTTTAAGCCAACATTGAAAACCAAAAAAAAAAAAAAAAAAAATCACATATACCCATTCGGTGAAAGTGACACTTTAGTACCTCTCACATTTTGTCTCAACTCGAGTCTGAATATTTAGAAGTGTTTAGTACGAGGATTCGTGTCATGTTACAATATTTTTTTTTTATAAAAAATACACGTAAATTGAGAATGGTTATGAATCTATTAACCAAACATTAGTGTAATTTCTTAAAAATATTTATATTCTAGATAATTGAATCTAAAATTCATAATACATAAATAGAGATATTCAGAGTCCATGTATCATTTGTTCGAGAGTATAAATTAAATATTGGTTCATCTTCTTTTAGCTTAGGAAAAAAATCCGTAAGTTTCCTTAATTAAGAGTCACATTTGTAATTGTACTTTTCTAATTCGGTTAAGACGTGTTATTTCAATGAAAACGGCTAATGTAGTTAGGAATTTCCACACGGTCAGGTGGTTTCAACGGAGGCGAGGGCGATGTACAATGTAGGATTGGCAGGCTTAACATATTGGTCACCAAATGTGAACATAGTCCGAGACCCCAGATGGGGAAGAACTCAGGAGACCCCCGGAGAAGACCCGCTGTTGTCGAGCAAATACGCCTCCGGCTATGTCAGAGGCCTGCAGCAAACAGACGGCGGCGGCCCCAATCGCCTTAAGGTTGCCGCCTGCTGCAAGCACTACACGGCATATGATTTGGATAATTGGAAAGGCTATGATCGCTATCACTTCAATGCTGTGGTAATTTGAATTTGTCTCAATAATTTGTTGAATGTCATTTGAACATTGTTTTTTTTTTTTTTTTTCTTTTCCTAATTTTTTTTTAGTTGGTGGGTTATTGTTAGGTCTCAAAGCAAGATTTGGATGACACATTTCAGCCCCCATTCAAGAGTTGTGTTATTGATGGGAATGTTGCTAGTGTCATGTGCTCTTACAACCAGGTTAATGGCAAGCCAACTTGTGCTGACCCTGACCTTCTCTCCGGGGTGATTAGGGGCGAATGGAAATTAAATGGGTACAAATTTTTTTTTTTCTCTACAAACTTTAACTAGATAGGTTTTCCTATTCCTTTTTCCGATGTCTTATTCGGTTTCACTTTTCTCATCACACCAATCATTTTATCACAAGTATTCAATAAGGATAAAAACAGAGACAGAATAGAAATGAGCGTTTTTTAAACTCGTTTTAAAATAATCTTATTTTTTTACATATAAATGAAAATGAAAACGTTTTCAATCTCATATAGAAATTATTTTTAAAAATACGTTTGGTAGTTTTATTAAGAGATTATTTTCAGTATAAAAAAAATCCATTAATGTCTCTCTTTCTCTCTCTGCTCGAGAGAGGAGAAAACGAAAATAAAAAATAAAAAATGACTAAAAGTCGTTTTTCATTTTTTTCTCATTTTACACTAAATCAAAAAATCGTTTTCATTTCCGTTTTTTATCTTTATTAAAAATCTTCTCATTTTTTATTTCTCAAAAAACGTGAAAAATAAAAACGGGAATAATTTTAAATACGGTCAATATATTTCTATTTTAAATCAATATATCGGTATTAGATTTTATAATATTGTATATTTTATTTTTTAAGTGTTTTTTTTTTTTTTAATGAGATTGTATGTTCAAAAACATGCACTATTGATCAGAATAAGGAAGTTGAATTATATAAAATTGGGTTACTGCAGGTACATAGTTTCGGATTGTGACTCAGTAGATGTGTTGTACAATTCCCAACACTACACCAAGTCGCCAGAGGAAGCAGCAGCCAAGACTATACTGGCAGGTAATGACAATACTGCAAAACTTTGACTCTTTAGTTCTGTTAATTCGAATCACGATTTAATTTTTTTATTACATATTTTCTCTTGTGATAATTTAAATTTAATTTTTTATATTACATTATTTTTTCTCACATTAATTCACTTATTTTGATATTCGTGATAAATGGTATTGTATTGTAAGATTGATTAGAGTAGCGTATATGATTGACAGAGAAGATCTGTGGAAGAAAATCATTTTTTGCAGTGTATATTCTTAAAAGTTAAGACTAAATCGCTAAATCATAAGTAATCGGACCAAGAAAAATAGTTATATTTTGATAAAAATCTGATGACTCAAAAGCATTCAGTACAATTTATCACTGTATAAAATGAAACATTAGATTATAATATCAGATCAAGTAATAAAAGATAAAAGAATTTCGAATTTTTTTCTAATGAGCTTGGAACTTTTTGGGAAAATAAACCCACTCTCCTTCATGAAATGTTGTAATCAAGTCGTGATGTAAAAAATATTTAAAAAAAAAAAAAAAAAAAAAAAAAAAAAAAAAAAAAAAAACATGCTCTTGCTATCACTTATCATGTGAAATATGAAATTTTGTTATGTAGTGCGTTGTGATATTAACGAAATTATACGTTGATTGTCATATGAAGGTAATATTGTCATCACGTATTTTTCAGAAAATATATACATATATACGTATGTATGTATATACATGGCCCGTTTAGTTCGCTGATTCGAGTTGAGATGTGATTTTATGTGAGAACTTTTTACTGTAGTAAAAAAATTAGATGTGATTGTTTGTGAGAGTTTTTTACTGTAATAAAACTCAAATTCTAAACTCGAATCAGCGAAATGAACGGGGTAAAAGGCTATTCTTTTCAATTTAGTGGATAAAGCGTTAATTTTGTTGAAAATCCTATAGAGGGTCTGATGCCTGTGTTTTCTTTTTACAGGTTTGGATTTGGACTGTGGAAATTTCCTTGGCAAATACACAGAAGGCGCGGTCAAAGGTGGACTTTTGGATGACGCGCCAATTGACAAGGCCATTTCCAACAATTTCGCCACGTTGATGAGATTGGGCTTTTTCGATGGAGATCCAAAGAAGCAGCCTTACGGCAATCTGGGCCCAAAAGACGTGTGCACCCAACAGCACCAAGAGCTGGCCCGTGAGGCTGCAAGGCAAGGCATCGTGTTGCTGAAGAACAGTGTAGGATCTCTGCCTCTGTCTGAGACTGGCATTAAAAACTTGGCAGTTATTGGCCCCAATGCAAATGTCACCAAAACCATGATTGGCAACTATGAAGGTAAGAAAAACATGTTTATTCCCAAAACTGATTTTTATATAAACTAGTTAACAATATATATATATATATATACTTCCGAAGCAATAAAAATAAAGAAATATAATGGTTCATCATCGATTGTAATGAAAAAATGATTGATTATAAGAGAATCCCAAAATCGGCGCCTCCAATATAAATAATACTAGAATAACTGAAATCACAAATGTGAACCCCAATTTACCCTTACTAGAATTAGGCTTCACACATTCAATAAAAACTATGACTTAAGTTACGTAACAACTATTGATGACATTGTCACATACTAAAGTCTCGTTCATTTTACTGATTCGAGTTTTACTACTTTAAAAAGCTCTCAGAAACAATCACATCTAACTTTTTTTGCTACAGTAAAAAGCTTTCACATAAAGTCACATTTCAACTCGAATCAGCGAACTAAACGGACTCTAATAATGCTATATATTCACTATGGGATTGTGCCTGAATGTCTAAATGGTAAAGTTTGGCAATTATGCAGGCACCCCATGCAAATACACCACTCCGTTACAAGGCCTTAGCGCCTTGGTGTCGACCACATACCACCCGGGGTGTGCCAATGTGGGTTGCGGCACCGCCCAGGCGGATGAGGCGGCAAAGATAGCAGCCGCAGCGGATGCAACCGTGCTTGTCGTGGGCTCGGACCAGTCCATTGAGGCCGAGAGCCGCGATAGGGTTGATCTAACTCTTCCAGGACAACAGCAACTCTTAATAACACAAGTTGCAAATGCGTCTAAAGGACCAGTCATCCTCGTTATAATGTCAGGAGGAGGTTTTGATATTTCCTTTGCCAAGAATGATAACAAGATTACAAGCATTCTTTGGGTTGGTTTTCCTGGTGAAGCTGGGGGAGCTGCCATGGCTGATATCATTTTTGGATTTTACAATCCAAGTAAGTATTTATGGTTATGTCTCTCTTTTACTTTCATTCATCAAGTTTTTTTAAAAAAAAAAATTTTCTTAAAGTTTTCAGTTATCAAGTTCTTATTAAAAAAAAAATTCATGAAAATTAGACATTCTTGAGGTTTAATTAGTTGCACCACTATGATCTTATATGCAAAATCAAAATTCATTGAAGAATATTATTACAATTTAAAGATAGATCAATATTTATCCTCACTTCTTAGCATATTAAACTTTAATAGTTTATTCTGAAAATGTTTCATTGTTAATATATGTTAAAGTATAAAATTATTGTTGACTCATCTTCTAACAACTTAAGTTTTTGGGATGAATTGGTAAACTAACATAGTATCAGAACGGGAGGTTCTGTTCAAACCATCGTAATTCTACTCTTTATCCTCATTTAAATTATTTACTCACACGATTACTTATTGTCTAATTCACACGTGAGAAGGAGTCTTAAAGTATAAAACTATTATTGACCTACCTTTTAACAGCTTAAACTTTTGGGATAGATTGATAAATTAATAAATATATCAGACTAATGCATCCATGCATTTAAAAATGAACAATAACAAATAGAAATAAAATTATCTCGTAAAGTAAAAATTGTTGTATTTTTCTTAATTTGATTTGTAACTTGATTTTTTTTTTCCTCTTAGGTGGAAGACTACCCATAACGTGGTATCCTCAATCCTACGTGGGGAAGGTCCCAATGACAAACATGAACATGAGACCCGACGCGTCCAACGGATACCCGGGTCGGACTTATCGCTTCTACACGGGCGAAACCGTCTATTCGTTTGGGGACGGGCTAAGCTACACCCAATTCCACCACCACCTCGTCCGCGCACCGAAACTTGTCTCCTTCCCATTGGACGAGGCTAACGCGTGTCGTACGTCGAGGTGCACCACACTGAACGTCGGTGACCACGAGCACACCTGCCAAAACCTCGCCTTTGACATCCACTTGCGGGTCAAAAACGTGGGGACAAGTGGCGGGACCCACACGGTTTTCTTGTTCTCTAGCCCTCCTTCAGTGCACAACTCACCAAGGAAGCACTTGTTGGGCTTTGAGAAAGTTTCTCTGAAGGCCCAATCGGAATCGCTGGTGAAGTTCACGGTTAATATTTGTAAGGACTTGAGTGTGGTGGATGAGGTTGGGACAAGGAAAGTTGCTTTGGGCCACCATTTGCTTCACGTGGGAGATTTGAAGCATTCCTTGAGTGTGAGGATTTGATTCCTCTGCCCATGATTTTTCTTTTTTTTTTTTTGTTCTTTTCTTTTCTTTTCTTTTAATTTATTTTCCCTTTTGGTGTCAAGCTTTAATCCTCAAGGGAACAAAAAATTGTCGAGAGTGAAAAAAAAAAAAAAATTTGAGAGCTATAAATAAATTGAGGGAGTTGTAACAAATTTTCTCAATGGATTATGGTATAGCCAAACCATTTTTTTTTTTTTGCTCAGAATTTAAAGGATTCTAAATTTAATTTAAGTGAAGACTTGAAGTGGTGTTTGCATTTGAATGTTTTTCTACTTTGTTAAGGTTATAAAGTTATATAGTTGCTTTTATGTTATGCGGCGATGAACTTAATTAGGGTCCGTTTAGTTCGTTGACTCGAGTTTTTAATTCGAGTTTAGATGTGATTTTATTTGAGAATTTTTTACTGTAGTAAAAAAGTTAGATGTGACTGTTTCTGAAAGTTTTTTACAGTAGCAAAACTCAAATTCTAAATTCGAATCGGTAAAATGAACGGAGCCTAAGATGGTGAGAGGGAATGTTCATCAGAATGTTAACTTGTTCTCATTTGTTAAACCTTTTGAAGGTGATAATCAAAACTTAAATCTATGCTTTTACATGTTGTAATAAACTATGTTACGTGATATGACGTTCATTACACTAGTTGCAATAATATGTATGTTGAAGTTAGCACATTAAATATGCAATTTTTGTGCTTTTTAGTGACAGATTAAATATTAGCATCAGCATTTGTATCGGAGATAGTCTAACGTAATTAATTATACCTAAAAATAAGCACTCCTTAAATAATATTTGATGTTGTATAATCCAAAAGACGAGACACAAAGTGGCGCTTCAAGCTCTGTGGAATAAGTCAATATGGATAGCATAGCATAACTATAAATTAAAAGGTTCTAACCTAAGTACCAATTAATTAAAGTAAGTACATGGCAAAATCCAAGGGAAACAACTAAGCTATATGTCATCAGAGAATTCTTGAATAAATAATATTATAAGATGCGCATGCAAACCTGTAATTGTGAGAGGTCTCTTTCGAACAATGTACAGATTGTTATAATATGGTATTTTCTATCCAAAAGAAGAATAATAATATTAATTAAACCGCCTTATGGCTTTTCTTGGCATCCAAACACCAAATCAAGTTGTTTAACGTCACTTCTCCATTTGGATGATTAATATTCTGAAAGCGTTTCATATTCCACCAATGAGAATATTGACTGTAATTTTGAAATTTGTTCGGCCTAGCTAGGTATATAATATATGTGTGTATATATTTATATATTTATATATATGCCAATGTTTAATTTCAAAGTATTAGATGAGCCAAAAAAAAAAAAATCAAAGTGTTAATTTTTTATGCTCATACGGAGATTTCGATGGTGGAAATTTGTTTTTTTGTTTTTGTTTTTTTTACTATTTTGAATCAGCATATTTTGGCTTCCTTTTTTTTTTTACTATTTTGAATCAGCATATTTTGGCTTCCTTTTTTTTTTTACTATTTTGAATCAGCATATTTTGGCTTCCTTTAGTTTCAAAAATAATGGTAATTAACCTTGATTTGGCTCAAATAACCCTAAAAAAACTGTTAAAACCCTCAAATAATGGTAAGCAACTGTTATATTTGATTCTTTACGCGAAGCGGGCAATTAGAGACTTTCATTAAATAGGTATTTGGTTTAGAGGAGTTTCATAGATCACCGCTAATAATGAAACGGGACAAAAAGAATTTCTTTGTTAATTTCAAAATTTGAGAATTCACTAATGGAATGTGGGGGATAATTTTCTTTGTTATTTACTTTTCACATCCTCTCAATTAAAAATTAATTATTATAAAAGGCTCATAAATAAAATGACAAAAAAAGACAATAGACTTAATTATATAATTAAATTTTATTACAAAAGACAAATTAATAGAGAGTCTTTTTTCTATATACACACCCCACATATCATATTCCCAAATTATAAAATATTTCTATTTCAAAAATTCATAACTAAACCCTAATTTTTACTTTTCAATAACTAGTCTAAATTGTTACATGGATGTATGTTTAATTAATGTGTCTAAATTAACCCTAATTTTTTTGAATGAGTGTGTTTACTTTTCTTTACTATTTGTTGTATGAAGTTTTTTTTTTTTTTACTTTTTGTTTTTCATTTTGTGTTCATATTTATTTGCTAATCTATCTTTCAATCAAATTATTTTATCTTTTTTCATTTTTTATAATGGTTTTTCATTTTTTTTTTTTTAATGTCGATTGTGCTCATGAGGTACTATCTTACTGCAATTTTTTTGGGGTGTGTAGTTAGAAAGGAGTGTGGAGAATAAAGAAGTAGGGTCTGTGGATAGAAAAGAAACCAGTAAAACCGTCCTTAATGATTTTATAAAAAGATAGTTAGGAGTAATTTGAAATAATAGGGCTGTGTAGAAAGAAAAATTAATCATTTAAATATTATGTGAGGTGTGTAATTAGAAGGGAGTGTGGAGAGTAAAAAATGAGGTGTCAATAGAACTACTTTTTTCTAAAAAGAAGAAGCAAGAAAATTACTTGAAATATATGCAAAATGACTTATGATTGTGTTCTAAGACCCTGTTCATTTTACCGATTCGAGTTTAGAATTCGAATTCTGCTATAGTAAAAAGTTTTCAGAAACAGTCACACTCTCACATAAAATCACATATCAATTCGAATCAGCGAACTAAACAGACCATAAACTTCGTTTCATTTTAAAATTTCTACAGAAGATTTTCTTGAGAAAATAGTAGAAGGAATAAAGAGTGGATGGCTCTTTGTAAAAGGATACATATAAGTTCGTCCTAATAAAAATCCAAGTCATCCAATAATACTGATGTAGTACGATCTTAACATCAATATGACATTTTTCCCCTAATGTACAATTAGACAGGTTTTAACAGTTAGTGAATTTTCTAACTCATTTTCATAAGATTAGAACCATTTTCGATTTACGTGTATTTTTTTTTTAAGAGAAAACACTATAACGAACCATGAATCATGATTTGAATCGGAGTACGAATCCCCCAACCAAACAACCTAAAAGTTATTTTATAAGTTCGAATTATTGTTTAAATTTTTTTACTACAACATTTTTTCTTATAAAATTAAATTTTTATTTAAGTAGTAGTATAATATTTGTATCTTCATTGAGATATTCAGTATTACACACGTTACAATTTATTTATTTTTTAATGGATAATTTTTTCTCATAATTAGCTACTATTTGATTTTACATTTTCGTTTGGGAATCATGACATCAATTAGGGAAATAAAATTTGCCTTAGTTGAAGCAAGTATGTATATATATATATATATATATATTAATGGAAAAAAAAAGGTCAGAAAGACAGAGAGGGCTTCAAGGACGTGGGTGGACATGCGTTATCATAATAATTATTACATATCTTTTCCAAAAAATAATTAAATAAAAAAAATAACTCTAGTGGACCTAAATAAGCTTACAAAGAAGCAACTGAATTTAAGAACGCTTCCATAATAGAACAAACATGATGGGTCTACCTGGTGATGGTTGATGAATATGATTCTAGTAGTATGTCATTTGTCTTTTCTTTTTATTTTATTTTTATTCTTCTTTGGTGTATGAATATTGAATAGTATTCTTACATTTATATTTAAAAAAAATGAGTATATACTGCACATCTCAGCTCTTATCTACTAAGTTTTCCAGAGCAACTCATCAGATACGAATCATATCGAGCATGTTCTTTTAGAGTGTGACTTGAGTATAATTTTTGAGTGAAATTTGAGTTATAACTTGAGTTGAAGTTGTAACTTGAATAAAATTAAAACTTAAATTAACGTGAATTTAAATAAAGTTATAACTTGAGTTTCAACTTTTTCTGAATTTTATTATAAAAGAACAACCTCATCATTTTTCAGTTAGTTGGATATAATTTTGTTTTGGATAGATGATGATCGGTCCTATTGATAAGTGATAACTACAACATTTTCATTCATATAAAAAAAATATATCAAAGCTATAGATATCATAAAAATGATGAGATAGATATGATAAATAATTTGATTATAACAAACTAAATTAATTAACTTCATCAATTTTTATTGAAAATAATATAGAGGATTTTTTGTCTCTTTTTTTTTGGGGGGGGTCTTTCAAAATGCCTTTGCCTAACTTTAAAAAAAAAAAAAAAAAAAAAAGCCTTTGCCTATGGTATAGGTTCTTCTAAGTTTTGATTAATGTACGGTAACTGGATCCATTTTCAATGTTGATATTCATCGGTTGCAAATTTCTAACCCTCCGAAACTAGAGATTTGAAAGGAAACCGCGCTAAAACACTCAAATAAATCTGATATGTATTAAATCTGATCAAATTTAAGACTTTCTTTAGTGTTTCATGTTTATCAACTGTTGAATCTGTATTAAATCTGATCAAAAGTCAAATCAGATTAAAAAAATAATAAATATTCAACAGCTACTAAGCAGGAAACACTGGTGTTCCCAAAAAAAAAAAGAGAACACCAGTGTTTCTTAAAAAGAAGAAACACTAGATAAATTCTCATAAATAATATATATATATATATATAATAAGTGTTTTCTACTGTTCTTTCGGTGAGAAGGTTTTACCATGTTAAAATAAATACGTAATATAATATTTATTAACATTATTAGAAAAACATAACACTAATAATTATCTCATATTGTAAACTTAACTTAGTTATTTAACATGATACAGATATTAAAAAGGTGTAATGATTATTAGAAATAATTAACTACCTTGGCTTCTCACATTTTTAATATTAATGTTATATTAAATAAGTACCATGTTACATCTTCATTTCTACATGTTATGATTGTAAGACCGTCTCAACAATAAAAATATACTGCTATATAAAACTAAGATTATTACTAACCATTATAACCTAATCCATATGTGTATATATTAAAGGAACTAAGATTATAACTAGATATATATTAAAAGAACTAAGATTGTGGGAAATGATCTAGGTAGAAAGGGCTCTCTCCAAAGAAAGGATACTAGATTTTATTTCGAGGATAAATGCAAAAAAAAAAAAAAAGATTTCAATATGTATATATGGTTGTGTTTGGAATTAATCTCATTTTTTGTTTTTCAGGTTTTTTGAGAAAGAAAAAATAAAATTTTTTTTAAAACGACGTTTGGCG